TTTGTCAAAACTTCTTCGTAAAGACTTTGTCATGACTTCTTCTTCGTATATGTTTTGTCAAGACTTCATCGTAAAGACTTTGTCAAGACTTCTTCGTAAAGACTTTGTCAAAACTTCTTCGTAAAGACTTTGTCAAAACTTCTTCGTAAAGACTTTGTCAAAACTTCTTCGTATATGTTTTGTCAAGACTTCTTCGTAAATGTTTTGTCATGATTTCATCGTAAATGTTTTGTCATGACTTCTTCGTATATGTTTTGTCAAAACTTCTTCTTCGTATATGTTTTGTCAAGACTTCTTCTTCGTAAAGACTTTGTCAAGACTTCTTCGTAAAGACTTTGTCATGACTTCTTCTTCGTATATGTTTTGTCAAGACTTCTTCTTCGTAAAGACTTTGTCAAGACTTCTTCGTATATGTTTTGTCAAGACTTCTTCTTCGTAAAGACTTTGTCAAAACTTCTTCGTAAAGACTTTGTCATGACTTCTTCTTCGTATATGTTTTGTCAAGACTTCTTCGTAAAGACTTTGTCAAGACTTCATCGTAAAGACTTTGTCAAAACTTCTTCGTAAATGTTTTTTCATGACTTCTTCGTATATGTTTTGTCAAAACTTCTTCGTAAAGACTTTGTCATGACTTCTTCTTCGTAAAGACTTTGTCAAAACTTCTTCGTAAAGACTTTGTCATGACTTCTTCTTCGTATATGTTTTGTCATGACTTCTTCGTATATGTTTTGTCAAAACTTCTTCTTCGTATATGTTTTGTCAAGACTTCTTCTTCGTAAAGACTTTGTCAAAACTTCTTCGTAAAGACTTTGTCAAAACTTCTTCGTCAATGTTTTGTCAAGACTTCTTCGTACATGTTTTGTCATGATTTCATCGTATATGTTTTGTCAAGACTTCTTCGTCAATGTTTTGTCAAGACTTCTTCGTATATGTTTTGTCAAGACTTCTTCGTACATGTTTTGTCAAGACTTCTTCGTCAATGTTTTGTCAAGACTTCTTCGTACATGTTTTGTCAAAACTTCTTCGTAAAGACTTTGTCATGACTTCTTCTTCGTATATGTTTTGTCAAGACTTCTTCGTACATGTTTTGTCATGATTTCATCGTACATGTTTTGTCATGATTTCATCGACATGTTTTGGTCATGATTTCATCGTAAATGTTTTGTCAAGACTTCTTCGTAAATGTTTTGTCAAGACTTCTTCGTACATGTTTTGTCAAGATCGTTTGTCAAGACTTCTTCGTACATGTTTGTACAGTTCAAATCGTACATGTTTTGTCATGATTTCATCGTACATGTTTTGTCATGATTTCATCGTAAATGTTTTGTCAAGACTTCTTCGTAAATGTTTTGTCAAGACTTCTTCGTACATGTTTTGTCAAGACTTCTTCGTCAATGTTTTGTCAAGACTTCTTCGTAAAGACTTTGTCATGACTTCTTCTTCGTATATGTTTTGTCAAGACTTCTTCGTAAATGTTTTGTCATGATTTCATCGTAAATGTTTTGTCAAGACTTCTTCGTAAATGTTTTGTCAAGACTTCTTCGTACATGTTTTGTCATGATTTCATCGTACATGTTTTGTCATGATTTCATCGTACATGTTTTGTCATGATTTCATCGTAAATGTTTTGTCAAGACTTCTTCGTAAATGTTTTGTCAAGACTTCTTCGTACATGTTTTGTCAAGACTTCTTCGTCAATGTTTTGTCAAGACTTCTTCGTACATGTTTTGTCATGATTTCATCGTACATGTTTTGTCATGATTTCATCGTACATGTTTTGTCATGATTTCATCGTAAATGTTTTGTCAAGACTTCTTCGTAAATGTTTTGTCAAGACTTCTTCGTACATGTTTTGTCAAGACTTCTTCGTCAATGTTTTGTCAAGACTTCTTCGTAAAGACTTTGTCAAAACTTCTTCGTAAAGACTTTGTCATGACTTCTTCTTCGTATATGTTTTGTCAAGACTTCTTCGTATATGTTTTGTCAAGACTTCTTCGTATATGTTTTGTCAAAACTTCTTCGTAAAGACTTTGTCATGACTTCTTCTTCGTATATGTTTTGTCAAGACTTCTTCGTATATGTTTTGTCATGACTTCTTCGTATATGTTTTGTCAAAACTTCTTCTTCGTATATGTTTTGTCAAGACTTCTTCTTCGTAAAGACTTTGTCAAGACTTCATCGTAAAGACTTTGTCAAAACTTCTTCGTAAAGACTTTGTCAAAACTTCTTCGTAAAGACTTTGTCAAAACTTCTTCGTAAAGACTTTGTCAAAACTTCTTCGTAAAGACTTTGTCAAAACTTCTTCGTAAAGACTTTGTCAAAACTTCTTCGTAAATGTTTTGTCATGACTTCTTCTTCGTCAATGTTTTGTCATGATTTCATCGTATATGTTTTGTCATGACTTCTTCGTCAATGTTTTGTCAAGACTTCTTCGTATATGTTTTGTCATGATTTCATCGTAAATGTTTTGTCAAGACTTCTTCGTCAATGTTTTGTCAAGACTTCTTCGTATATGTTTTGTCAAGACTTCTTCGTATATGTTTTGTCAAGACTTCTTCGTACATGTTTTGTCAAGACTTCTTCGTATATGTTTTGTCAAGACTTCTTCGTACATGTTTTGTCAAGACTTCTTCGTACATGTTTTGTCAAGACTTCTTCGTACATGTTTTGTCAAGACTTCTTCGTACATGTTTTGTCAAGACTTCTTCGTACATGTTTTGTCATGATTTCATCGTACATGTTTTGTCATGATTTCTTCGTAAATGTTTTGTCAAGACTTCTTCGTCAATGTTTTGTCATGTATGTCCTCTAACCATCTCATAACGGTTTCCAAACCACTTTTATCGGATGTAAAGTAAAAGCATGGACAGTTATGTAAAACGTCTAAAGTTTCTAAAGAGTCTCTCAAAGTTCAGTCTACTTGGTATTGAAAATCCCATGTGTTATAGAACGGCGGGTCCACTATAAAGAAAATATTTTCCTTGTCTTTATATTTTTCATACAACTCTGTCCAATGACATCTCACAAACTCTATACCCTCAATATATTTTTCTATGTTCTCTTTAGGTCAGGTAAGTGGGGCCTCCAGGCGCGTTGCGCCCTCTAGCCCTGAAGATGTTTAGTATAACTTTGTCCGGACAAGTAAGGGTCTATCGTCGCTACAGGAAAAGTTACAGGCGTTCCAAGGAAGTATACTTTGAGAAGCCTTCTTCTGGGTCGAAAACATTATATAATGTTTCGCTTTTCACAAATTATATATGTTTTCATGTTTTGTCACTTTTCTGTCACTTTTCAGGAAAAAACATTATATAATGTTTCGCTTTTCACAAATTATATATGTTTTCATGTTTTGTCACTTTTCTGTCACTTTTCAGGAAAAAACATTATATAATGTTTCGCTTTTCACAAATTATATATGTTTTCATGTTTTGTCACTTTTCTGTCACTTTTCAGGAAAAAACATTTTTATTATATATAAATGAATTTTACAAAACAGCCGTTACAAATCTACAAATGTTAGACCATTCGGTAGTTTCTTAAGTTCTCTCAATAGAATATCTTTACATCTACAAATGTTAGACCATTCGGTAGTTTCTTAAGTTCTCTCAATAGAATATCTTTACATCTACAAATGTTAGACCATTCGGTAGTTTCTTAAGTTCTCTCAATAGAATATCTTTACATCTACTCTTATTTCCAAAGAAGGGTAACGGCTGTTTTGTAAAATTCATTTATATATAATAAAAATGTTTTTTCCTGAAAAGTGACAGAAAAGTGACAAAACATGAAAACATATATAATTTGTGAAAAGCGAAACATTATATAATGTTTTTTCCTGAAAAGTGACAGAAAAGTGACAAAACATGAAAACATATATAATTTGTGAAAAGCGAAACATTATATAATGTTTTTTCCTGAAAAGTGACAGAAAAGTGACAAAACATGAAAACATATATAATTTGTGAAAAGCGAAACATTATATAATGTTTTCGACCCAGAAGAAGGCTTCTCAAAGTATACTTCCTTGGAACGCCTGTAACTTTTCCTGTAGCGACGATAGACCCTTACTTGTCCGGACAAAGTTATACTAAACATCTTCAGGGCTAGAGGGCGCAACGCGCCTGGAGGCCCCACTTACCTGACCTTATTAAATAATAGTTGTTTATAAATTATATTATATTATCATTTAATATTATTTTGATAATGAAGATTTTATTTTGCAATAATATAAACGAAATTTTTTACCTTATGAACTTTTGATGGAAATATGCAAATTTAAAATAATAAAGAAAGCCGCGAGCGAAGCGATCGGCTTAGTTCGAAGATTTTGATTCAAATCTTTGCTGATCTGTAATTCGCGGAAGCCGCGAGCGAATCGAGCGGCTTAGGTCTAAGATTTTGATTCAAATCTTTGCTTATATTCCTTAAATTCTTTATGAAACTCGCAACAGTTCCATAAAAAATTTTAAATTCTAAACTGTCGAAATTACCGATCGGTAATCACACCCTTCACAGGCGTGTCACTTTTTACAAGTGTGTCGCTTTTAGCTAAAATTACCCCTACTCCAATTGAGAATATCCCATAATTCTTTTATTTCAGAACGCATTTACGCATAGAAAGATAGCCGATTATCAAATCTAATAACTCTAGACAATTCTGCTGTATCTATCCAGAAATTATATGTTTTTATCGATATTGCAGAAGATTGAAGGATTATTTATTGGAGGTGCGTTTTTAAGTCAGGAATTCAAATATCTTATTGATATATATTCATTATTTTTGTTTACACGTTCTGAGGTAATCGATTATTCATAACTTGATTATAGCCATCATAAATTAAATAACTATAATACACATCGATTTTTCTATTCGCGAATGTGTAAATAAATGCAAATTACAACGTTCAACTTTGAGATTTTGTGGTAAAGTATTAAATTACTTTGAAATATATATTATTTTCCTATCAAACCTTTAATAAATTTCGGAGCCAATTTTCAGAATGGATTTTGCTGAAATTTTATCAAATGCTTCATCTGGAAATTCGGAAATCTCTTCTCAATCATTTCAACTCCTCAAGAAATTCGCAGAAGAAAACACAGACGAGTATACATTGCAATTATTTTCAATATTTCAGAATCATAACGAAGATTATCACCTTTGCTGCAATGGTTTATCACTAATATGTTATAACAGCATAAGTTTTGATATGTTCGTACAGAATTATCAATTAATTTTACAATTTCTTCGTTCTTCAGATGTAACTTTAAATAATCTTGCCATTCCACCATTATCTGCTCTATTACGAATGATTTTATACAATGGAAACCCTAATTCCAGTGAAATTATTAACACTTTCATTGAAGGTCTGCAAGATCCAGATGAAAATTACGCTTGTAATTGCGTGGCAGTTATTTGTCAATCGTATAACGGTTTTCAACAATATGCTGAAATGCTTTTCACTCCATTATTCGAATCTCTAAGTCAACAGCGTCCGATTTTACAAAAGAAAATTCTTGAAAATCTTTCTCAAATTGATGCGGAAGATCTCAACATAATCAAACAATTTCCTAATTATATACAAGGAATTACATCATTCTTTAACGATGATAGCTTAATAGGGCCATCATTTGTTTTCCTGAGCTCAGTTTTTTCGAAGAAATCTTCATTTTTAACTCAAGAAATATCTCAAAAAATTTTGGAAATCGATATCCAAAAAATACAAAATTCTGATGATGTTTTAAAGCTTGAGTTCATAGAATTATGGTCCAGTATTGCTATGGCCGAGAAAAATGCAGGTGAAGGAGAAATGATTCCTCAAATGTCTTCGATTTTTTGTAATGAAATTGTCACTTTTTTACTCTTAAATTTTTCAAATCGTCGTGACGTTGAGGAAGGGGAAATTAACACATTTGATATTGCCGATGCATCAAAGAAATGTTTAATAATGATTTGTGAGAATTGTGTTCAACAATCAATACCTTTGCTTTTGAGTTTTATTTCAGAAAATATAAATGAAAATGCTGACTCAACAATGAATGTTTTGCATGTTTTCTTGAAGTTGAAAGACGACGAAAGAGTAGAAGAAATATTTGATAACATTATTGAATGGATACTATCATCCTTCCAGCATCAAAACAAGTTTGCAAGACTTGCTGGATTGAAATGTTTAACAACTTTATCTTTGAAGTTCACTTTTGTCACTTTTGAAATGATTTCATCTTTAGTTGAAAATGTCATTAATTTATGGCAGGATGATGACGAAAATGTAGCCCAAGAAGCGTATAAATGCTGCTCTTATATATACTCAAAAGCTCCTTGGTTCGTAATTGTTGATCAATCTCAATCTTTCATTGATCTTTTACAATATATTTCTGTTTCGAGATTGAATTTTTATTTCCAATTTTTGTCTTCTTTCTTTTCGCAATGCGATGACATGGATGATATGAATAGGATATTGGAGATATTAGTTACATTATGTAGTGAAGCATTGTCTCAAAATGAATGGCCAAACCAGGTTTTCGACGCCATTTTTGGTTGTTTGTACAAATTATGTTCTTCAAAAAGTAACAAAAGATTTAGTGAAGAATTAATTTCATCAATTTTCGATATATCACTAGTTGCTTATAGTGAGAAGAGTGTTGATGATGCTCTGCTACTCCCAAGCTTCCTTGCTTCAGCTGAACCTGTTTTATTTGCCGAAAACAACAGACACATCAGATTAATTCATTTTATTTTTGAGACATTTGATAAAAATGTCTCTACATATGCATTATCTGCATTATCTAATATGATATTGACTTATGATGACTTAATTGCAGATTGCAATGAAGAATTACAAAAAATAATTTCAATTGTATTCGATTCTATAAGTTATTTGAACTTCGAACAAAAAATCGAGTATTTGAAATACTCAATACCTATTATGACCATATTGGTAGATAATAATCTGCCAATTTCTCAACAAATTTCAGAATTCGTTTTTAGTTCTTTAGATGAAGCGGCTACACAGTATTGTTTATGCGATGTAGATGAAGAAACAATATTTGCAGCAAATATTCAGTATCTAACTAAGTTTGCAGTTCATACTTTCCAAATTAATAATTATTGCAATGAGTTATTTTCTTCAATGGCATTATCTGTAACAAAATTGTATTCTAGAAATCATTGCTGTCCAAATGAGCTTATTAGCGAGATGAAGTTCATGGCAGAACTCATAATGAAGACTCTTGATTTATCAGAAATTGATGATGAACATGCTAACTTCCTTGAAATAACAAGTGAATTTACTGATACTCATGATATATAAAATGTTTGTTTTTTCTTTCTTTCATTTTTAAGGGTGCCGGAAAGTGAGGTGACGCGATTTCGAGTATTGCTCATAACTTCATTTGTAGTAAAGATATTAATGATATTGAAACATATATTAATAGGGTATATACTAAGGTTTTTATTTCTATGATATGGATGTCTTGGATACTTCCTGCATGAAGAAAAAGGCTTCGCAATTTTCGAACTTGCGGACCTATCTAGTCCCTGGTTTTTCCATGGCAAGGGCTGACACTCCAGAAATGATATCTAGGTACATGATACTAGATATTTTACAGAAAACATTTGGCACTTGTTAAAAAGTGTCGAGTGCAATTAGGTAACTTCAAAACTAAGACCGATTACACTACCATCTCACTGGATTCTGCTAATTACTATTGGAGAACAAATCTGATTGTAGCGATTTCCAGCCGAAACGCCCTCATTCAAAATTTAATTAGATTTGTATCTAGTCCCCCAGTATTGTGTTCAAGCCAGTGAAACACATTAAATACAAAATTTCAATAGTTATACTAAAAGTTTTACAGAACAAATTTTATTTTCCATTTTCATATCTTGAGATAAATGCACTTTTTCCCTTTCAGATTTTAAAAATTTTCAATGATTTTGTATGTTTTTGATAACCTTATATTCATAATCATCAATTTTACTTAGTTTAAATATGATATTATGATACATCATCACTTAAGGTTTATATACATATAAGTAAATCAAAATAAAAATGATTTTATGGGCTTGAAAAGTGATGTTTTTATATTAGCTTTCACTTCACTTTCCGGCACCCTTAAGGAAATTGAATTATAAAAATTATTCCGGTTTGAGTGAGATTCCTCACAAATTTATCGGCTGATCAAAAAAATTGTTGAATAGCAATAGTTGTCATTATTATGAATACTCTTCAAAATGGAAATGAGATTCCTTAAGGGTATAGTCCACTAAAAATTTTTAAGTTTTGACAATGAAAATAAGCTCTGTGACCATGTAAATATATATCTATGCAAAACGAGAGGTTATGCCATAATTTTTTTTAGTTATCAAATTTTCCTTTTTTTGAGAGAAGTCTCTCAATAATTTGAGAAGAATCTTTGATATAAAGAGATACACATTTGTAGAACGAAGTAAGTGTTTTCCAAACATTTTATATGTTCATCCTGTATAACAATATAAAGCTGCATAGTGCCATCTTGTGCGTTTGCTATTTTATGTACTTTTCATTGAGATAATCCCTCTTCTCGGGTGATTTTAACAGTCAACTCAATTTTAAAATAAAGATTTCATCAAAATGATTTCGAAATTCGGATATTGATTATATAAATAGCACTGTTAACATATTTTGGATGAGTAAAAAATACCTTGTTTTGTATGCATTTAGTACACCTTTATTTTTGATTAAAACTATAAAATTTTTATTCCTTATATAATAAATAGTATATGTTACATAAACATGAAATTCAATAGCATTCAATTTTGGATTTTTTAGATTTGGTAAATTTTAGAAGAAATAAAATCAGCAATCAAAATAAAGAAACTTTTTTTGTATCTTCTATGATTACCTTTTGGTACTAAATTTTGCATTAATAAGTAAATTATCTGTATTATTCTGTGAGCACAAGCCCTCAGTTATGCTGGTAGTGAATGATGAATCGTCATTTTGCGAAGAGAACGCGATTATTAAGGTAATTTTGAGAATTGTCTTGAATTATTTAAAATTAAAGTTAATTGAATAGGTAGGATAACTAGCCTTTGCTAAATTTGTATAATTTGACCTTATTCTAGTTGGATCTGAGAATATTTTGCTGAAATAATAAATTATATCGCCGATTTATGAAAATTTCTCTGATGGGACCGACTCGCTGAAACGTATTAGTGTTAATGGTAACTTGTCTGAATTTTCAAATTTTTTTCGAAATCCAAAAAATCACAAACAAAAGCATCAAAATTAGATTTGCATTTAAGGTTTTCATTTTTTTTGGAAAATAAAAATATTTTTCCCCAATAAAGTTTATTTTTACTTTTGAGAGGAATAGAAACGTTATTTTGGAATTTTGAAACGACAGAAATGTTCCATTTTTAATGTAGATTCTAAAATGGGGTCAAATTTTTGATTGAACCGTTATCCATTGAAAAACCTCGATTTTAAAATGTTATTCCAAAATATTCATCTAATGATATAGTATATATTTATTAATTATTACTTTTTATTCAATTTTCACTTTTGGCGGGATTTCATTTTTTTGTTGTTGTATGGGCCATATTGTTCACCCAAAACGGAAAACAAAGGCAATGCATAACATTTTACTCCACGAACGTCGTCGACTCTCAGCGCGACAGATGCTTGGTGCTTGCATAATGACCGGAATGCCATATACAAAAGGTGCTCGCTTTCTTTCTCTTTGTGGAACTAAGCCCCCTGTGAAGAGTGGTGTCATGAGACAACAGAGATTTTGTGACGATAAGATTAGAAGACTTAAAAGTATTTCCCTAATGCTGTCGAGAAAGTCCTTCAGTGGTTACTTATCCATTGATGCAAGATGGACGCACAGGCGAAACTCGCCAAGTTGTACAGTATCTGCGCTCGATGCTGTCACAAAAAGAGTTCTTGCATGCGTGAACATCAACCATATTGGTGGAAACAGACAGCATGCTCAGTATTCCGGAGCTTCCAACAATATGGAAAGTGCTGGAACTCGAATCATCTTGAAGCAATTAAAGAAATACAATATCTTGAAAGATGTTAAAGAGATTATTAAAGACCGAGATAACAAAAGTGTCTCTGTCTTTAAAGAATTTGGCGTCTCTCATCTTGAAAAATTCGATCCAGGTCATGTATCAAAAAATATCTCAAAAGATTTTACAAAGTTCTCAGCTTCTCATAAGACAGTTGAAGTTTTCAACGACAAGACTCAGAAGATTGAAAAAATAGAGAGACCTTTCTGGGGTCTGAATGCAAGCCTAAGTATGTGGCTTTGGTCATGTTTTGCCGAAGAAAATATTGACAAACGTACGAAAATGTGGGAGAATTGTGTCTACCATTACGTAGGCAATCATTCTTTTTGCGAACCGCACAATTACAAATGCTTTGAATGGCAAAAAGGTGTCAATTCGATCCAACTTCAATTCATGCTCTATGACTGGGTTCACAAATGGACACCCATAGTTTCCAAAGTTTCTTCCATTGGATCTACCTGCATGAATGAAGCGTTTAACTCCAAAATTGCATGCTATTTGGACAAATCAAGAGCCTGGAAGAACATTAACATTAGAGTTAACGTTGCAATCTTAGAATGGAATGATCCAGAGCATTTTCTCGGAGATATACAAAAAGCATTACATCTTTCCCAGTTAGTATGGGTTAGTTGGGTACTGAGGCACTGCGCGCCTCCATACACCACTTAGCGGTTTTGACACTTTACGAAACCGTTAACGTATATTTTACAACACAAACGACAACACTAACTTAACCTTAAATATTTACAAAGCCGCCAACCACTTCACCCCACTAACGAACTCACTAATGTAAAAATAAACGAGCTCACTAATGTAAAAATAAACGTTCTCACTATCGTTCTCACTAACGACTTCACTAATGTTCTCATAAATTTTCCTCAATATCTTCATCATCAGTGTTAACCCTATTGTAGTCATACTTGAAGCCATAAACTTTCTCTAACTTCTTAACGTACAATTTACATAACTTACCTTCGTCATCGTATGGTTTAATGATATAACTATTTCTATCTTTATACACAGTCAATGAAAAGTCAACTGGTCTCGGATGTATTTGAAAGAACATGTTATGCTCAGGAAGGAAGAATAAATGTTTAAATGTATGTTTGTTATACTGTGGAATTCGAATGAGTTGCTTTTGTTCTGTCATTTACATCCAAATAAAAATTTTCAGTAAAAATAAAAAATAAACTTAAAAATTAATGATATCACCACCCTCACACGTATGAAAACATAGCACAAAAATAATGTTTATGTTAGAATGTTAGATCTAACACGTTTTCTAACCTCATTTCTAACCTGTTGAATTCATTGCTTTATAACTCTCTTCTTTTCTCCAACTCTTCTAACTTCTTCTTAAGTTCAGCAATGTTGTCCTCATGAAGTTTAATCTTTCTCAAAATTCCTTCTTTATCTAATGGTTGCTTTATCTTTCTAAACTGAACTCTACCATCCTTCATAGTATGAATGTAAAAACCTTCTGGAATAGTTCCTGATTTAATGTATTCTACCAAAAACTTTTGTTTCATTGCTTCAGTGACTTTAGTCGTCATTTCAATCAAAGGTGAAGCTAGCACAGCGATAATGGATTTCATGACTTTTTAGTATTTCATGCAATCTTAACAGATAGCCTTACAAGTACTTCCAGTGTCCCTAGCTGTCCCTCCTTTTTATATAACTCCATGACATTTATAATCTCGCGAAACTTAACAGGTAGCATAACAGATTAAAATCAGATGAGGTTTTGAACCAAAATTTCTAAGCAACGTTGTCAAGGATTTTGAGGAACTAGGGACAGAGACCATGGCAAAGTCCAAGATTTAATTTATCTTCATCTGTTTCATCAGCTATCTCATTCTTTGTTGCAATGGCTTCTTCACGAACGACATTGTGAACTATTTCAACACTGTTCTCATGTATGACCTCCTCACTGTTCTCATGAACTATTTCAACACTGTTCTCATGTATGACCTCCTCACTGTTCTCATGAACTATTTCATTATTGCATGTATGACCTCCTCACTGTTCTCATGAACTATTTCATTATTGCATGTATGACCTCCTCACTGTTCTCATGAACTATTTCATTATTGCATGTATGACCTCCTCACTGTTCTCATGAACTATTTCATCATTGCATTCATGTATGACCTCCTCACTGTTCTCATGAACTATTTCATCATTGCATTCATGTATGACCTCCTCACTGTTCTCATGAACTATTTCAACACTGTTCTCATGAACGACCTCCTTACTGTCTTTCATAAGCGTTTCAAAGTCTCCTTTACTCATTACTTCAATCTCATGCTGTTCACAGTAGTACTTAAACTCACTGTATATGTCTTTGTTGTATGTTATATTGCTTCCCATGTACTCCATGAATTTTTCAAGCACTTCCTCATAATTCACTGTTTCTTTCTTTCCACGACCTTCTAATATCATACTTGCTTCGTAAATATAACTTCTTGCAGAACCGTCTCGCTTTCTACTTCTCTTCACAAATTCTCTCATCTTGCCACCAAATACATTTGAACTACATGCAAAGAATTCATTCTCCTTCGCAAATTCTTTATATCTTCTGTAGCACTCTGTACAATTCCATCCGGATACAAACTTTTCATAGAACTCCTCGTAAAACATTTGGTAAGGTGTTTTGTTCATTTCGATGAGTTCGTTGATGAAATATCTGACGAAGCTGTTGAAATAACAGATTATGGTAAGCATTCGTTTGAGTTCTACTACTATGTTGAGAATGAGGACGCATTCTATTATTATACAGGTCCTAACTATCGAAAACTTCATATAAACTTTACAAAAACAGGCGCTGCTTATGTTTGTATGATAGATACAGAAAACAAGAGTGTAATCTTATTCATAAACAAATTCAAACGCTTGTACGGGTTCATGTAGGACAAACATTATTTTTCAACACTAACGCCAACACGTAGGACAAACATTCATGACTAACATTACTGTATAACATAAATGATTTGTCATGATTTAATCGTAATGAGCGTATATGTTTTGTCATGATTTCTTCGTATATGTTTTGTCAAGACTTCTTCGTACATGTTTTGTCTTGACTTCTTCATCGTAATGAACGTATATGCTTTGTCAAACATGAACGTAAATGATTTGTCGAAACTTCTTCATCGTAATGAGTGTAAATGTTTTGTCATGATGCAAAAATAATGAGTTCATTTACTCACAATATTTTTGTACAAAATGTAAAGTATGGCGGTTTGAAACCGTCGGGAACCTTCACTTTTTTGACGAAGTGCAAATCTTCACTTCGTGTCAAAACTTCATCGTATATGTTTTGTCAAACATAAACGTATATGTTTTGTCATGATTTCTTCGTATATGTTTTGTCAAAACTTCTTCGTATATGCTTTGTCAAGACTTCATCGTAATGAGTGTAAATGATTTCATATAATTGCTTACCTCGGAAAACCGAGGGAAGAGATTCCATATGAAAATCGCAAGAATTTGGCTCCTGGTTTGAAATATTATTATGTTCATAGACTTTTAGTAAATGCTTTGTCAAAACTTCATCGTAAATGCTTTGTCAAAACTTCATCGTATATGTTTTGTCATGATTTCATCGAAACTAAACGTATATGTTTTGTCGTGATTTCATCGTATATGTTTTGTCATGATTTCATCGTAATGAGTGTAAATGGCCCAAAAATAATGTTTACGTTAATGGTTTTAGGTGTCACCATGTCACCATATCACCAGGTTATTTAACTTCTCTGAAAAAATGAGACAACATGACATTTAGACAACATCACAGGAGGAAGGCAGTTATGAATTATTTTTGAAGAACTGAAGGTGTCACCATGTCACCATGTCACCAGGTTATTTAACTTCTCTGAAAAAATGAGACAACATGACATTTAGACAACATCACAGGAGGAAGGCAGTTATGAATTATTTTTGAAGAACTGAAGGTGTCACCATGTCACCATGTGCTACCAGGTTATTTAACTTCTCTGAAAAAATGAGACAACATGACATTTAGACAACATCACAGGAGGAAGGCAGTTATGAATTATTTTTGAAGAACTGAAGGTGTCACCATGTCACCATGTCACCAGGTTATTTAACTTCTCTGAAAAAATGAGACAACATGACATTTAGACAACATCACAGGAGGAAGGCAGTTATGAATTATTTTTGAAGAACTGAAGGTGTCACCATGTCACCATGTGCTACCAGGTTATTTAACTTCTCTGAAAAAATGAGACAACATGACATTTAGACAACATCACAGGAGGAAGGCAGTTATGAATTATTTTTGAAGAACTGAAGGTGTCACCATGTCACCATGTCACCAGGTTATTTAACTTCCCTGAAAAAGTGTGACAACATGACATTTTGACAACACAGCAGGAAATAAATGTTTACGTAAATGTTTTGTCATGATTTCTTCATCGTAATGAGCGTAAATGTTTTGTCAAGACTTCTTCATCGTAATGAGCGTATATGCTTTGTCAAGACTTCTTCGTCGGAATGAGCGTAAATGTTTTGTCAAGACTTCTTCATCGTAATGAGTGTAAATGATCCAAAAATAATGTTTATGTTAGAATGTTAGATCTAACACCTTTTCTAACATGTTTTCTCACCTCATGAATTTTCATGATTTCTTCATCGTATATGCTTTGTCAAACATGAACGTAAATGTTTTGTCATGATTTCTTCATCGGAATGAGTGTAAATGTTTTGTCATGATTTCTTCATCGGAATGAGCGTAAATGTTTTGTCAAGACTTCTTCATCGTATATGTTTTGTCATGATTTCTTCATCGTAATGAGCGTAAATGATCCAAAAATAATGTTTAGGTGAAGAGGTGAGATCTCACCTCTTTTCTCACCTCTTTTCTCACCTCATGAATTTTCATGATTTCTTCATCGTATATGCTTTGTCAAACATGAACGTAAATGTTTTGTCATGATTTCTTCATCGGAATGAGTGTAAATGTTTTGTCATGATTTCTTCATCGGAATGAGCGTAAATGTTTTGTCAAGACTTCTTCATCGGAATGAGCGTAAATGTTTTGTCAAGACTTCTTCATCGTAATGAGTGTAAATGATCCAAAAATAATGTTTATGTTAGAATGTTAGATCTGACCTCTTTTCTCACCTCATGAATTTTCATGATTTCTTCATCGTATATGCTTTGTCAAACATGAACGTAAATGTTTTGTCATGATTTCTTCATCGGAATGAGTGTAAATGTTTTGTCAAGACTTCTTCATCGTATATGTTTTGTCATGATTTCTTCATCGTAATGAGTGTAAATGATCCAAAAATAATGTTTAGGTGAAGAGGTGAGATCTCACCTCTTTTCTCACCTCATGAATTTTCATGATTTCTTCATCGTATATGCTTTGTCAAACGTGAACGTAAATGTTTTGTCATGATTTCTTCATCGGAATGAGTGTAAATGTTTTGTCATGATTTCTTCATCGGAATGAACGTACATGTTTTGTCATGATTTCTTCATCGGAATGAGCGTAAATGTTTTGTCAAGACTTCTTCATCGTAATGAGCGTAAATCAGACAAAAATAATGTTTAGGTGAAGAGGTGAGATCTCACCTCTTTTCTCACCTCATGAATTTTCATGATTTCTTCATCGTATATGTTTTGTCAAACATGAACGTAAATGTTTTGTCATGATTTCATCGTATATGTTTTGTCATGATTTCTTCATCGTAATGAGTGTAAATGATCCAAAATATATTTTAGGGTAGAAGGGTAGATCTCACCTCTTTTCTCACCTCTTTTCTCACCTCATGAATTTTCATGATTTCTTCATCGTAATGAGCGTAAATGTTTTGTCATGATTTCTTCGTATATGTTTTGTCATGACTTCTTCGTATATGTTTTGTCAAGACTTCTTCGTATATGTTTTGTCAAACATGAACGTATATGTTTTGTCGAACCTTCACTTTTTTGACGAAGTGCAAATCTTCACTTCGTATCAAAACTTCTTCGTATATGCTTTGTCAAACATGAACGTATATGCTTTGTCATGATTTCATCGTACATGTTTTGTCATGATTTCTTCGTATATGTTTTGTCAAAACTTCTTCGTATATGCTTTGTCAAGACTTCTTCGTATATGCTTTGTCAAGACTTCTTCGTAAATGTTTTGTCAAGACTTCTTCGTAAATGTTTTGTCATGATTTCTTCATCGTATATGCTTTGTCATGATTTCATCGTACATGTTTTGTCATGATTTCATCGTACATGTTTTGTCATGATTTCTTCATCGTAATGAGCGTAAATCAGACAAAAATAATGTTTAGGTGAAGAGGTGAGATCTCACCTCTTTTCTCACCTCTTTTCTCACCTCTTTTCTCACCTCATGAATTTTCATGATTTCTTCATCGTAATGAGCGTATATGCTTTGTCAAACATGAACGTAAATGATTTGTCGAAACTTCTTCATCGTAATGAGCGTATATGTTTTGTCATGATTTCTTCATCGTAATGAGCGTAAATGATCCAAAATAATGTTTAGGTGAAGAGGTGAGATCTCACCTCTTTTCTCACCTCTTTTCTCACCTCATGAATTTTCATGATTTCTTCATCGTAATGAACGTATATGCTTTGTCAAACATGAACGTATATGCTTTGTCAAACATGAACGTAAATGATTTGTCAAACATGAACGTAAATGTTTTGTCATGATTTCTTCATCGTACATGTTTTGTCATGATTTCTTCATCGTAATGAGTGTAAATGATCCAAAATATATTTTAGGGTAGAAGGGTAGATCTAACCTCTTTTCTCACCTCTTTTCTCACCTCATGAATTTTCATGATTTCTTCATCGTATATGCTTTGTCAAACATGAACGTATATGCTTTGTCAAACATGAACGTAAATGTTTTGTCAAGACTTCTTCATCGTAATGAGTGTAAATGATCCAAAAATAATGTTTATGTTAGAATGTTAGATCTAACACCTTTTCTAACATGTTTTCTCACCTCATGAATTTTCATGATTTCTTCATCGTATATGCTTTGTCAAACATGAACGTATATGCTTTGTCATGATTTCTTCATCGTAATGAGCATAAATGATCCAAAAATAATGTTTAGGTGAAGAGGTGAGATCTCACCTCTTTTCTCACCTCATGAATTTTCATGATTTCTTCATCGTAATGAACGTATATGCTTTGTCAAACATGAACGTAAATGATTTGTCGAAACTTCTTCATTGTATATGCTTTGTCAAACATGAACGTATATGCTTTGTCAAACATGAACGTAAATGTTTTGTCAAGACTTCTTCATCGTAATGAGCGTATATGCTTTGTCAAGGTTTCATCGTATATGCTTTGTCATGACTTCTTCATCGTAATGAGCGTATATGTTTTGTCATGATTTCATCGTAAATGATTTGTCAAACATGTACGTTCATGTTTTGTCATGATTTCATCGTAAATGATTTGTCGAAACTTCATCGTATATGCTTTGTCAAACTTCTTCATCGTAATGAGCGTAAATCAGACAAAAATATATTTTAGGTGAAGAGGTGAGATCTCACCTCTTTTCTCACCTCTTTTCTCACCTCATGAATTTTCATGATTTCTTCATCGTAATGAACGTATATGCTTTGTCAAACATG